AACTCGACGGTCGGAATCGTCTGTGTGCTTGGACAATGGCTGATCTCCAGAGATAGGGGCGGTAAAGAACTGGTCATTATCCACCAGCAGTGCACGTCGAGTGGCCTCCGCAGGGGCTTCAGCTTGTACGCCAGCGGTCGAATACGAACGGAGTTGCGACGAGGTTGGGTTCAGACCCGCCGATGTCTGGCCGGTGCCCTGATAAGCGTACCAGGCGCCCGAGGCGACGGCGGTCGAAATGACAGCGATCGAGAAGTTCCGAAGATGCATCGACGACTGGAGGGGAGCGGGGAGATAAGAGGGGTGTTTGCCCGTGGAGGAGGCACGTAGACCGAGACTCCGACTGCTGGAGAAGGACACGGCGCACGGTTTCCTACCAGTGACCTTCCATGCTGGCACGCGACGGGCAGTACGAAGGGCTTGAAAAGCCGCACGACGCATTGGGCCGGCGGATAGAGGGTTGTATGTGAGCCGGGAGTGTCTTGGCTACTCTCCGTCTCTGGTTTCGGAGAACAACAAAAGCAAGCAGAAGATAAGCAAGTGAGAAACGGACGAGATGCGGTGGAGGCAAGCAACTACTTTCAACCACGGGATCTCGCCGCCATTGCGTCATGTGATACCGTGTATGTATTGTTTGTGACCTTACATACGGCGGCTTCCGAAAGGGGCTTAAGCAAAACTGACAGAACCCCGCTAAGCCTGTCTCGGCCGTGTCGTCATTCCCCGCGGGACTGCCCGATTTAATCATATTCTTTTGTTCTTTGATTCTTAGGCTTTCACTTCAGTATCTTTTCCACGTCGCTGTCTGCGTGTGTGGCCCGTTGCGCCTAGTGATCTCAGATCACTCTCGACTGCTTCTACAGATTCAAATATAGTTTCGACTCCTGAATGTCCTCCCGTGCGCTCCGCAAGCTGCAGAAGCAGCGCGAACAAGAGCTGCAGCTGGCACAACTCGAACAAGAGAATGATGACTCGAGCGATGAAGAGCCAGTGGTTCGGTCGTCGAAGCCGAAGCTCAATGCATTCGATTTGTTGAACTCAGTTGACGACGATGACGAAGATGAGCAGGAGTCCGAGATTGAAGCCGAGATCGAGGAACCTGAGCCGGTGACTCAACCTAAGGAGGAGGTTCCTGTACCTGCACCTGCACCTAAGCCCGTAGCCCCGGGAAGGAAAAATAAAAAGGGCAAGAAAAAGAAGAAGGCAGGGGCTAAATCGGGTGCTGGTGCTGCTTCTCCCGAGGCTACAGGACTGGATGATATTGACAAAGCGCTGAAAGACTTGGCCGTCAACCCTAAACACCCCGCACACTCTGGTGGTTCAGCCGCCGCAGAAGACCGCGATGCTGGATTCCCGAAAACACCGGAAGCACTTCTCGCCATTGAACCTAGGTGCTTGAATGCGACAAACGAGATGCGCAAATTGTTTGGAAATGTCGTTTTGGAAAACTTCGATCAAGATACTGGATCGGGTCGCAGGAGAGATAGAGGTCGGGAGACGCTTGACTTAGGGCAGGCATTGACAGGCCGGTACAGTCCTGCCAGTAGAGGACAGAGTCTGGCAGGCGTGACGCAGCGGCGGAATGTTCTCATGCAGGGCAGGGATGAGTGGCCTCGGTCTCCCAGTGGTGGCCTTGGAATGGAGCTGGTCGAAAAGCTCCAAAATGGCTCTACTATGTACAAGATTGTGCACAATTCTTCATATACGGACGTGCAGAGACAGTTCGATATGTGCGTGGAGTCAATGGACCCTCAAAGGATGATCCACCTCTTACAATACAATCCTTACCACATCTCTACCCTCCTACAGGTGTCTGAAATAGCAAAGCATCAGGGTGATCATGCGGTCTCGGCTGATCTACTCGAGCGCGCACTATTTAATATCGGTCGTTCAGCCCATTCGTCTTTCAGCAACCTCGTTAAGCAAGGCCAGGCAAAACTTGACTTTGTGCATATGGAAAACCGCGAGCTGTGGTTGGTTGGCTGGAGGTACATTGCTAACCTGGGTATGAAGGGTACTTGGCGGACGGCGTATGAGTGGGCGAAACTACTGTTGAGTCTCAATGAGACTGACCCATACTGCATCCGGCTTCTTATCGATCACCTGGCCCTGCGAGGCCGAGAATATGCCCATTTCGTGGATCTGTGCACACAGACGCGACTGAGCAAGGAGTGGGAGGCTCTTCCCAACATCCAGTGCTCGCTCGCGCTGGCCTATCTACGACTTAACAAACCGAAGGAATGCCGCGAGCAGCTGCGTCGAGCCATGTCGCGCTATCCGTGGGTGTTCTGCAAGATGGCGCAAGAGCTCGACATCCAGCCCATGCCCAAGAGAATCTGGGGCAAGATGCCACCCACGGACGCCCATGAACTCTTTACCGAACTCTATATTAGCCGTGCAAAGGACCTCTGGAACACTCCCGAAGCGGTTTCTTTGATCGCAGAAGTGGCCGACACGCTTCCTGACGAAGAAGAGCCCGTTGAACCGCCAGAGATCTCGCTGGATATCGCACGCCATGTCGTACTGTCCGATATCCCTCGGGTCACGACGCACCTGCCTAACCGCTTCGTCGCTGGACGCCTCTCCGCATCCGATCCCCTTCCCCCATACGAGTCGGAAGCCTATCGTCAGCAGTCCGACCCCACGCCATCCTACTTGTCGCAGGTACCAGATGTAGGGCGGCCACAATGGCTGCGAGACCTGCTTGATCAGCTGAACAACGGAGCTATTCATTTCCCTAGGTTTCAGCGTGACGGAGAGGAAGTACACGAAGATGACGTTCCATCGGAGACCGAAGCTGAGGACAACCGTGCGCCGGCCCACCCCAGCGCCGATCAGCAACCCGTTCTCGAACAGTGGCTGTTGAACGACGGGATGCACACGCTGGAAGCATTCCTTCAGCAGTACGGAGTGGACCGGGGAAACTGGGGCGAAGTGCTCGACTATTCCCCGCTGACGGAGTATGTGGATGGCTTGGAATTGGTGCAGCCAGAGTCGGAGCGCGAGCGCTTGCTGCATGGACCGATTCGGGAGGCGATGGGAGACATGGTGGTTTCCATGCTGGAGGACGAGCTCCAGCTGCTTCAGTACGACGAGGAAGAAGCTTGATACCCAGGGTGAAATATCTCGTGTAACCTATACCACATTTTGGAAAAGTACTTGCTGCATGGGCATTCAGATGGGCTTAGTAGACCGGTTAGAATATAGATGGTTGTTGATCAAAATTTCTAAAAATCACAAGAAAGATATAAATAAAGACAGATAACTTGATCTATTACTGTAACTATATTTTATCGATCGTGATGTTGCTGCTGTCGTGACCGACTGTACACAAAGTGTATAATTAGAAAATTCTACTATATGGCCTCCTTCGCAAGGGACCCCTGCACAATACGACGTTACCAACGGCTATGCGGCTTAAATGCATCCATGCAATATTCTAGAGATACTCGCCTAGATGTACCCAAAAAGAATCTGTCCACATCCAAAGCAATGATAATCATCAGGGGGCAAATTGACAAGCTGATAAGGGATAGGATGAAGCTAAAAGAATGACACTCCGAAGACAGACAGCTTAGTCAAAAGCATTCCTGACCGGCTCCACCCGCAACCATGCGCCAATCTATTCAGTCCCCAAGTGACTCAATTGTCGCCATTTTAATAGCTTCATTCCTTCGTGCTTCCCTCCTACACATTCCATGAAAATTTCTTCAACCACCGGATTCCTCCGAATCGAGCAGCTGACCCTTCTTTTTCACTATTCGCTCTTATTGCGACCCAATGCGCCCGGACGGCAAGGGATTTTCTCAATAAAACCGCTATCATTGGAGAGTTCCTTATCTCTGCCCGTCATTGATTGAGTCGAGCAGTCCGCAGGAGTTTCCCTCCAAACTCCAGCAACTACTCTTGCACCTCACTGCCTCCAGTACCTCAGACAAAATGGCGGCTCTCTGGACAGCTACCAATGCCGACTCTGTCCCTCTCACTTCTCGCGAAGCAGCCTCTGGCTTGCTGGGTTCGATATCACTCACCTGCTGGATCTTCCTCCTCGTAAGCCCTCTAGACCTTTATCCCTCCATTCTATATACAAACCATACTTACAAGCTCCTAGGTCCCCCAACTAATCGAAAACTACCGCAACGGCAACGCCGAAGCTATTTCCCTCCTCTTCCTCTTCGTCTGGTTCCTCGGCGACATCACCAATCTAATCGGAGGCGCCTGGGCAGGTCTCGTGCCCGTAATTGTCGCCATCGCCGTGTACTTCTGCATCGCGGACGGGGTCCTCATCGGACAATGTCTCTACTACAAGGCGCGGAACTCCCGACAACCGCGCCCCCGCCGCCGCACTTCCTCTTCCGTGTTCGAGCCAAGCACGCCCGATCCGACGACGCCGCTCCTGGGCCGGCGGTTCAGTGATGCGTATGCGCAGACAGGCGAAACCCTGGACAACCCCAGGAACTCGACGCGCCGCGTGGAAAGCAGCAGTGATGATATGCTGGCTAAGATTGTCGAGGAGAATGATGTGGGGCGCAAGGCGTGGGTGAAGAATTTTAGCAGTGTGCTGGGCATCTGCGTTATTGGAATGGCGGGGTGGACGGTTGCGTGGCGGACGGGCGTGTGGAAGCCTGCGCCAGTGGAGGAGGGGCTGGGAGGCGTGGATATGGCGCCTGGGGCGATGGTGTTGGGGTATATTAGTGCGGTTTGTTATCTTGGGTATGCTTGTTTTCTATGCTTTATTGGGGAGAGTGATGGTGCTGGTGCTAATCAGGATATAGGGCGCGACTTCCACAGATCTATAAGAACTACTGCGATAAGTCGTGTGAGGGTATGTTATATCTCTCTCTGATTGGGATAATGTGTTTGAGCTAACATATGAGTATAGGACTCTCGCTACTGTTCTTCATCCTCTCTCTTATGGGAAACCTCACCTACGGCGCAGGCGTAAGTCTACCTAGTTATCACAATTCTCACGATTTTACATAAACCCAGACTAATGAAAACTTTTTATAGATCATCTGCCACTCCACAAAAAGGAACTATATTGTGACCAATGTCCCATGGCTGATTGGCTCGCTCGGCACCATGGTCGAGGACGTGACCATCTTCGTGCAGTTCCGACTCTACGCGACACGCGACCAGGACACGGCTGCTGTTTAGCGCGTCTGTTGCACATTAATTTTGTGTTGTGTGTTTTGTGTGCCGTTTCTAAGGTTGTCTTAGTTCTATGCTGCTGATGGTTTAGCGTGTCTAGCTAGTACTTTATTGTCTGGGGTTGTATCATTGGTTGGTTGTACTGTATGGGCTGGCGGTGTCTAAAAGTTCTTTTATCTCGATCTTGATCTTGCATTGCGGAGTGGGTATCGCTGCTGTTGTTATCGATATGGATATTGATTTGCTGATGTTGATGTACATCGATTGGCGGGATATTTGTTGTATGGGGAAGTTGGTGCACAGGGCAGGCGGAGTATAGTATATGTAGTATAGTATACTATAACCATACGAGCTACTGGTATTCACTACATCTAGGTCTACAGAACATATGGAAACAGTGGGAACGAGGTTTTGCTCATGGTCGCATGACAGACATTGCATGAGAGCTGGGGCACTTAAGCTCGAAAGAACACGCCATATAGCATAGTAGCAACAAGCACACACAACATCAGAGACACAAGAGGAGCCGAAGCCGAATCTCTTCCGCCCCCCCAGGAAAAACCGGAATCGCAACGGCATCGCGGTTTCCCCTCCAGAAAGTAGTACTACGTAAGAGACACATTTCTGGTTCTTATCTTTTTCACGACGGAGCCTATCATGCGAGCAGAGCGCCCAGTCCCACCGGATGTCCTTGTCCGTTCATTCTTTCTTTTAATTTTCCCTTTTTGGTCTTCGTGCGGTCGCGTAGTATCAGGTACAAGAAATGCGAGGGGGCGAAAAGGAGGTAGTAAGGAAACGAGATAGAAAAGGAAAAATTAGGAAACCCGAACGGTTGAAGACGCTTAGTCGAAAAGACCGAAGCCCATGTCCTCGTCGGACTCCTCCTTCTCTGTAAAGAAGTTAGCCCAGAAGTTCCTAATCCTATGATGCCCTGCCATTGCAATCGCCATGACAATGGATATGTTGAGGTATATTCCGTACCTTCTTCCTTCTTCTCCTCAGCGGCGGCAGCCTCGGCGGGGGCAGCAGCGCCACCGACAGCAGCAGCGGGGGCGGCAGGGCCAGCGGAGCCGACGTTGGTCAGGAGCTCCTTGATGTCCTTGCCCTCGAGAGCCTATTGATAAAACCGACGTGTAAGTTTGTGTTTGATTCCAGATGGTGGTGGTGCATAGTCGGGTTGAATCGCGAATCGCATGCGATGATGAAACTGAGAGGTGTTGCGAAGGTTGGACGGATTAATTTACCTTGGCGAAGATGGAAGTCCAGATGGGCTCAACCTCCTGAACCTTGGCGGCAGACAGGAGAGTCTGGAGCTTGTCGGCCTGTATTCAAGAAATTCCATTATTAGTCCAATTTTGATCCTATAACCTTGAATTTTCCAACCCGGCAATTATTGCATGTTCCAATTCCTTGGTATCCTCTAGTTCCATCTCTTTTCACGACACTTTCTTATTTTTCCTGCTCTTTCCTAGAACCTTGTTCCCATCCTTGCCTGCCATTCCAATGCCCGGGTTGAAATCAAGGGTCAATACGTACGGTGACCTCGAGGCCCTCATCGGCGAGGATGAGGGCGGCGTAGGAGCAAGCGAGCTCGGCAGTAGACATGGTGGTCGACGGGGGGGTTGGACTGGACTGGAGTCTCGAGAGGGATGGGGATAAAAAGAGGAAGAGAAGGACGGGAGACTTTTTTGTAACGGCCTGGTCGAGAAGGGGAGTCGGACGGTGAGTGACTAACGCTTGCCCCGAACGGAAGTTGTGTGTTGAGCACCGCAGAAGCCCTCGCTTAGGGCTGCTCCTGTTTGGGATTAGTGTTACCACCCCTCGCCCGTGACTTGGCGCTATTCCGCTTCGGGACAGATAGCTTGGCAATGCCATCATCGCCTGATGGGCTTCACGTTGCTTTCCCGCCCGTGGACTTTACTTCAATGCGAATGTATCTCTTATTAGATTCTGTCTACCTGGCTTGGCTGTTGTGTCGCTGATATAGAATCATCTCGATTATCTCTTTCAATTCCGCTTCATCCGCACCTGCGTCCCCGAACCCATTACTTCGATATCTATCTTTTTCCCCTCTCCTCCCCTCCCCTCCCTCCCCTCTCTCTCCAGCAGCATGGACTCCCCCGCTGTCCCCGCCCCGCTGGACCCGAAAGAGCAGCCAATCCTTGAGCGTCTGTTGCGCACTCGCGATGCTCTCATCTTGCTCAAACAAGACAAGTCTTCATATATTAAATCTCGCGATGTTCTTCCTCTCTATGAAGAGGTGGTCGCCGAGGTAGAAAAACTCAATGCCGCGCGCAAGGAACAGGATCGCCGGCGGGCACATAATCGACGTTAGCACTGAGTGGGCCCGTGTATGGATGATGGTGACCATAGGAATGCTAACTTGTGCGATGTTCTAGTGGACTATGTTCTTGACGATTGCTTCCAACTCATTTCACTACTATTCCTGACCGTTGGTCGCAACAATGAAGCTCCTGCCGTGTATGTTTCTACTGCCTGGTCTGAGGTTGAAAGTGAACTATACTAACCGTTGTCGCTGTGGTACAGGTACTCTCTTGCGACGACTGTTCAGGTATGCGTGACCGTCTCTGCGATACTATTCCCTACTAACCGTTCAGCGCCTACTCGACCACCTGGAAGAGGCCGGCTTCTACAGTTCCAAAGACCTGATCTCCATCACTAAGACCCTTGCGAACATGAACGATACCCTCGAGCGATGCCGCCAAGCTTACTCCCCCGCCCTTCTTACCCTGCTCGAGAGTCGCCTGGAGAAATGTCAGCTGTTGTTAGAGAAATTGCAGAGTGGTCTGGCCAAGCTGGGTCCGGAACTGGCGGCTACACATGAGACGCTCGTATCTATATTGCGATCGACATCGGCCGTGAACACCCGCTCTAAGGTAGTCTACCCTTGTCGATCGGAAGTGTGCAAACTGACATTGGTAGTTTTCATCCTCCGAGGTCACCGCGCTTCGGACCCAACTGAAGAAGATTGAGGAGGGCATGAAGGACGGACAATTCGTTGATGCTGAAGGGGTGCCGCTTTCCGGTGCTCAGGAAGACGTCAAGCTGCTGATGGAGCGGTGTTGGCTCTGGACGGAGATTGTGCTGGAGCGGTATGTATGGATGGCGAGATAATAGGATCCTGTGCTGATATTTCGCAGACAAGGAAAGATCGACGAAAGGTTCAAGGAACAGTATGACAAACTGATCGAGATTCGCAACCAGCTGGACCGTCTGGCTGTGACACAGGCATGGTCGCTTCGTGAGACGGACTTGTTTGGCTACCAGCGCAAGCTCGACCGGATTGACGAGGCGCGGGTGAACGGTAACTTCGTAGATGCGGAGGGCAACGCAGCAGACATTCATGCGCAGAGGGTAAGTTGCACCGGCCGCTCTATCTGGTACATGCTAACTCGAGTGTAGACATTACTGTACCTGATCCGGCGTAGTTACGGGTACATTTATGCGCTGCTGATCTCCTCGGAGCCGGTGTCGGAGGCGCTGTTGCCCGTGTACAATCAGCTGCAGACGCTGCGCAAATGCCTACTGGAGGTGCAGGAGTCAGGGGGCGTATCGAACTCGCGCGAGCTCTATCCGTACAGCATGAAGGTAGGTGCTGCTTTCGCAGATGAGAGTTGACAGGGCGCTAACGACAACGCAATAGCTCAACTCGATTGACAACATGCGCGTGGACGGCAAGTTCTACGTGGGCACCGACATCCCCGAAGGCCAGGGCAGCGTGAACGCGTTGCTGGCGGAATGCTACGACATTGTATGGGAATTGCGGGCGGCAGTGGACGAAGACGAGCGGACGGCGTAGATGGGAAGGATGTTTTAATATGTACTAATTCGAAGGGGAGGATATCTTGCTGGCTTTGGAGGCGTTAGGGAGTTGGACCGTCGTAGTGAATGAATGGTTGATTGATTGAACTACGAACCAAGTTGAAATCATGAAGGGATTCCTGCATGAATCCTACATGACATCACCTCCGCTCCGCCCCGCGGCCCCACATCCCACATCCTCGCGGGTCTCTGAGGGAAGCAGTAATTCCACCTCATCTTCTAGTCTTGTTGTGTACATCCCAGCTACTTCCAGTGTACATCACTCATGATTGGGGCATTCGTAGTCTGCTGATAGGCAGATCCCACCTCCAATCTCTTCATACTGTATATAAGCGTCACTCTTGTCCCTCCAATTCCCTCACCATAAAACAATCATCCACATCTCACCTCCCAACTACCTATATACATACAAAGTACAGAATACAACCCTCAATATCTCATCAGCATGACAGAAACCCTCCGCCCAGCCTTCGCCGACCGACCCCGACCTCTCCTCTCCTACGGCATCCCCTTCCCCACTGCAGCAGCACACCACATCACCGACCTCTTCCACGCCTCCAAGATCTACATCCTCTGCTCCGCCTCCCTCGCCCACAACACCGATGCCCTCGACCGTCTCACCCGCGCCCTAGGACCGAACAAGATCGCAGGAATCCGCATCGGCATGCAAAGCCACACGCTCTGGTCAGAAGTACTAGAAGTAGTCCGCGACGCCCAAGCCGCGGAGGCAGATCTCCTGATCACCCTCGGCGGGGGGAGTCTAACAGATGCCGCGAAGGTGGTTGCGCTGGTAATATACCTTCCCTAAACCCCCTCTTCCTCCTTCCCTAACACATATACTAATCAAAAGAATTGGCGAAAAAAATATAGGCAATATCCAACAACACCACCACCTCCGACACGCTCCTCACCTTAACCACCGAACCGCCGACCCCAAACCCGCCAATCAAACCCCCCTCCATCCCCATCATCTCCATCCCCACCTCTCTCTCCGCAGGCGAATACTCTTCCTTCGCGGGCGCCACCCACGACACTTCCCGTCGGAAATACACCTTCGCAGCACCGATCCGCGGCCCGCAGCTTGTCATCCTTGACCCGGAGCTGACTGCCACCACTCCCGAGCGGATCTGGTTAGGGACGGGCATCCGGGCGGTGGATCACTGCGTCGAGACGTATCTATCCTCCGGGGTGGGAAGTAGTGATGGGGTTACGGAGGAGACGGATCGGTTGGCGTTGCATGCGTTGGGGTTGTTGGTTCCAGGGTTGGTGAGGTGTAGAAGATTGAATACTAAGGAGGGGAGGATAGATAGAGAAGCAGAAGATGGTGATGATAATGATGGTGGGAAAGCAGCGCGGTTGGATTGTGCCTTGGGCAGTGTGGATGCTATGGCTGCTTGTTCGGCCGGGTTGCCTTTGGGGGCGAGTCATGGGATTGGACATCAGGTATGACCGCAATCATTTTCTTATGTATCTTTTTCTAACAGGATACATGTATATATATATACTAACGACTACGTGATGAATAGCTCGGCCCCCTCGGCGTCCCTCACGGCGAAACAAGCTGTATTCTCCTCCCCGCCGTATGCAAATACAACGTCAAGTACAGCAGCACCAGCACCAGCGATGTGACTGCCCGACAGACCAAGCTCCGCGATTTCCTGCTCCGGCAGGAGGGCGTATCCGGGGTGGTGCGCAAGCACTATGCAGAAGCAGCAGAAGTTGATCTCGGAGATTTGCTAGACGCAGTGATTAGAGAGTTAGGGCTGCCGCGGTCGTTGCAGGCGGTCGGGGTGGGGCGGGATCAGTTCGAAGCGCTGGCGGAACATTGTCTGCATGATCGGTGGTGTCGGGCGAATGTGGTGCCGTTGCAGGAGAAGGGGCAGGTGTTGGAGATTTTAGAGATGGTTGCTTAAGTAGTCTCTCTCCCTTTCTCTTTTCCTCTTTGTTTATATACTTATCCTACAGTATAGGATTGATCGATTGGGAGTGAAGAAGATATATGGTATATGTAGTACTATGTATGTATTCGGCTTATTATGGTTCCCGACTACGTCACGTCTTGTCTTGTCTTCTCTCATGAAAACCGCTATACACCTTTAACAATAAAAGCATAACAATAGAAGAAATATAAGAAATAACTGTCGAAAAAAATATAATAAAAATCCCATATCCTTATTGGTGGTTGTTGTTGTTGTCCTTATCACATTGCAATTCTCATTTCAACTCATGGCATATGAACATTTCCCAAACCGAACCCCGTCCCCAACTGGTGTATATCGACTCACTGGAAGTAGCTGCGCACGGCGGCCTGGTTGTCCGGGTTAACACCCGCCAGGATCTGCTCTGCGTTCAGCCCGGTCGCGGCCACCAGCTGCTTCGCCGAGTTGGCCACCCGGCCGGCTGTCTGGCCCTGCAGCGTCTCCGCTTCCAGTGCCTGGACAATGTGTCCGAACACCTTGTCGGCGCTGGACATCACCACGGGGTTTTGTCTATTGCACGTCAATTAGTATGGTCACTAAGTATTAATAAGCGAATTGGGGTCTTACTGGTCGATCAGCTGCGCAAGGAAGGAGTAGGCGTACGGAGCAGCCTCCTCGTCGAATGTGATAGGGAGAGTGCCGATCCAGTTGGCCACAATCTCCTGAGCGTTCTGCACCTTGCTGGCGTTGTAGTGCAGGATCTTAGCGATACTGGCCGATGCGTTCTCCGTCGCGAACACGTGCTCCTCACTGCGCGCCTGGTTGATCTGCGTCACCTGGAATAGACTGGGGATGCTGGCCGCCACAAAGTCGGCCCACGCGGCACCGCCCTTCTGGGCAGCAACGCCCACACCGTACGCCGCAGCCTGGCGGTTGGCCGCATTAGGGTCCTGCAGGCCGGCTGCCAGGGGCTGCATGATGTGGTCCTTGTAGTTCCACGACTCGGGTCCGCAGAACTCGAGCACATCGTCCATGATGCACAGGGCCCATTGCCGCTGCGTGGGGTCCTGGCTGGTGATGAACGCATCGTAGAAGGCCATCAGCTGCTCCCACGCCGGCAGGAACGTCGTGCCCTGGTTCTTGAAGATGGAGTGGAAAGCCTTGTTCATGTCACTGAGAAGGTTCTGGTCGTCCTCAATCGCGTATTCGTAGTCGAGGTTGTCCTCCTCGCCCTCCTCCGCCTCCGCGCGGTCTTCGAGACGTGCCTTCACGCGGACCTGGTAGTCCTCCAGCGTCGACTTGGCCGACTCAATGAAAGCCTGCATGTGCTGCTGGGTCAGGCAGTTTTGGCCGACCACCTCCACCGACTCGTAGAAGCACTGGTACATCTCCGCCAGTGTGTCGACTGTGGGCTCGGCGCTGAGCACTTCAATGATCTTCTCCGCCACCTTGTTCCAGATGCCGGCAAATCCAGCCGACTGGTCGCCGTGAGCCTTCTTGTACGAGTTCAAGAGCTGGGGGATCAGCTTAGCAGACGACACCCGCACGGGGTCGTGGAAGAAGAATGCAAGGCCGGGGACGGCAATCTTCTCCATAGTCTCCAGAACATACGGCTCAAACGCAGCCTCCAGAATCTGTGCGTAGATCGTGATGAGCTCGATGGCGGTGTTCTTGTCCTCCAGTGCACTGGTCTTGATACCGATGATCTTGCCCTTCAGAGGCACTAGCTCCCAGCCCTCATCCTGCTCGACCTGGTCGATCTGGTCCTCATCGTCGAGAAGCTGAATGTCAGCCTTGGCAGCGGCAACCGTCAACAAAGGCGGCATGACACCAGGCAGGTAAGGGACAAAGTCCTGGCCCAAGACGCGGCACATGCGGCCCCAGCAGTGGAGAAGGTACTGCGATTGCGGGTCGTCGGCGTCGACAATGTTCTGTTGAATGTTGCCCAGAAGCTGCACCAGGCTCAGCGCATCCTGACCCATCTTCTCCTTGCCGACAGCCAGAGCGATCAGCGTGGCGCACTCCATAGCCTTGGCGCGAAGCAGGCGGTATTCCTTGGACTGCTCCTCCTTCAAGACGTTGAACAGCAAAGGCATCAGGGTATCGTAGTACTGCTCGAAGGCATTCTCAGCCGAGTCGGCGATGGTAGCGATAGTCGAAAGGGCCTGCTCCTGCACGTAGCGCTTGGTGCTGCGCAGCAACAACAGCAGGTGCTGCAAGAGATCGGCAAGGTACGGTTCCAGCACCTTTCTCTCGGCCTCCTCGCAGAAGTTGACCAGGGCCGCGGCGGCGTGCGCCTGGACACGGGGCTCAGTGCTGTTAAGCACGGGGATGATGTTGGTCAGCACCACGGAGTGGTATTTCTCCTGCATAGTACCGGCGAAATCGGTGCTCATCTGGCCCAGAGCGTTGCAGCCAGCATAGCGCACGCGCGGGTGGGGGTCCTGAAGAGCGGGAACAACCAGTCGCAACACCTGGTCCAATTCGCCGACCATCAGGTCGCGGCAGCCTTCCGAGATGGCGGAGATTGCCATGAGAGCTGCATGGCGATCGCGCCAAGCAGAAGAGGACATCATGCGAGGAATCCAGGCAAAGGTCGCGGGGAGGATGATCTGGCCGCCAAGCTTGTTGGCCAGACGGTCCATGCACTGTTCACCCGCAACGTGGTTGAGGTCGCTTTCCTCCAAGTCGAGCTGTAATACGTCAGCACAACAATAACCATGCAAGATAATGAAATAGAACGTACATCCTCCGACGCATTCCATTCAGAAGCATCTTCATCATCGACACCAATATCCGTCATCAAGCTCAGGCACTGGGTCACCATCTGCTGAGCGAACTCGGAGTTCTTCTTGCACATCGAGGGCGCATAGTCGGCGAAGGTAGCCATCAATTCGAGAGCGTTCTGGCGGACCTGGTCACTGAGGTCCTTGTCGGCAATCACACTGATACTGAATGTAACCAGGTTGTTGAACATGGTCTTGAACATCTTGGGGCAGATCTCGGCCAACTCGATCAGAGACAAAAAGGCGGAGGAGAGCTCCTCGCTCTCGGACGACTCCTTCAACGGAGGCAGAATGTTGAGCAGATCGGGCATGAGGGAGAAGAACTTGGGCTGGGACTTCTTGGCGATCGAGCGGAAGAACGAAGCGAAGGCTTCCATGGCGGCAATGCGCACCTGTACACACGGCGATCAGCATACGGCTTGGGGTCTCAAGCCCGGGGTACGGCTGTGATGACATACTGAGACAACGTCATCCTTAAAACCCTTGCTGAACACACCGACAACGGCCTCCTCGTGGGGCTTCTCGATGATACCGGGGGTAGTGTTGAAGATGCGGAAAGCGGCCTCACGCAGGCCGGAGTCAGGGGACTGGCTGGCCTGGAAGAGAACGCCGAGCAGTTCGGGCCATTGGTCGCCTAAGCCACAGGTATCAGATTGGAAAGATCCAGCACGTATCAAGGTCCTTCACGGTGCCTACCGTTGTCCGTGTACTGTCTGGCAATCTCGGCCACGGCGTCGCCGATCTTCTTGCGGGTATCTGTGACGGACTCGCTGGTCAAGCAAGTCACGAGCTTCTGACGGATGATCAACCTCTGCTCGCCGGTGAGGGTCGAAAAGAGCTCCTTGGCCTCGTTCGTAACGGGGTCTTTTCGTGTCTTGGTCGCGATTCTTCTGAAGAGAACGGCGGAGAAAGAACGTGTCTGGGGGAGATGCAACAATGAGCGACCTGAACGCGAACCACCTTTTTGTCTCCTTAAACTGCCACTAGTCCGAAGGGATAAAAGTAACGCTTGTTATAATCCGGGGGGTGCTGATCTTTGACTCGAATGTCATGGACCAACGTCCTTTAAGGGCCCACCGAGGAAAAGCCAAGCAGGGCACTTACTAGCACATCCTCCGCACCCTGGATCTGCTCTGCCAGGCCCATCAGCAAGACATCGGGACGGCCTTGGATCCAATCATTGTTCAGCTGTTCCTCCGCCTGGGCACGAATGGTGTTGTCGGGAGTGGACAGCGCGCGCAGGAGCTGAGAGAGCGCCGAGTGGACCTCGGGGGGGAGTAGCGACATTTTGACAGCTCAAGTGTGAACAATCAACCCGAGCTGAAAACCACCAAGATCGCGGGTAATTAGAAGACACGGGGTCCAGCGGTGAACCCAGGTGGTGGAGGGTGGGGTGGTGGTTGATGTGAAAGGGACTTTTTTTTTGGCCCTTTGGAGGAGAAATTGTTTTGGTGGGGGAAGAAATAAGTTGACCAGTCGAGGGGGAAGAGGGAGGGCGGTATGGGCACCAAGCAACCAGACAGGTCAATCAATGAACGGGCAACCCGGCCAGGTAAAAAAAAAAAAAAGAAAAGAAAAAAGAGTAGAGTGAAGATCAATCAATACGAATAAGTACCAGCGCGGGTAAAATCCCAGCTCAGCATCGCAGCCGGACAGAAAGCTGCGGGTGAACAGGAGGGGGGAGGGCAGAAAGAAGAGGGCCCGTGAATAGCGCGAGGCTTAGAAGATAGTGAGAAAAAGAGCCTGGATGTTTGATGGTGAAGGAGGGAAGAAAGGTCAAAAGTGACTGCAATAATACTAGACTAAGGCAATAACTAATATTCACGGCTTTCTGCTCGCGACGCCCCAATCAGCTTTTCCCAAAATCCTAAAATTTCCCCCCAAGGCCGCCGCGCTAGTCTCCTTCCGGCAAGCCCTTCAGGCAGCCAGGCAGTCAACCCCTCTTGCAGGATTCGGCAAATCATCCAGGAACGTCCCTTGGCTATACCGGTAACTATTATGTCTATCATGCAAAAGATGCTAATTATCTAATCCCTCATGATGTGGACCCTGACGATGGTCCGGTACTGGTGGGTGGTCTATAAGTACGCTTCCCGAATGGGAGCAGAACATGCTATTGTAACCTTACGCTCTCACGAACTTAACGGTATCCGAAACAGAATAAACAGGCACAATTAGGACTTCGGCCACCACCATATGTAAGGAAGGCGAGATTGACCAATGCATAAGGGAAACTAGTCACACAAACGAAACGCTCTTGGGGTTACAGATATATGACACGCGAAAGGAGACGTCGAAAAGGAAATAGATACACGGGTACTTGCTTTCTTTCATCACGGACAGGTATGCACATCTCTTTACCGGGAAGTGGCCCGGCTCAA